GCACGCACGCACGCACGCAAGAAGAACAATTTTATTGAAGTATTTAAAAGTTAGATATAAAAGGAATTTTAGTTTGTATGTTTTAGTAATGTATTGAGAAAAGATGTATAGAAAGTTGTACCTCACCTTCAATACGTGTAAAACATCTCTAAATTAAATAATTTTATTAAAACATTTCTGATTAAACAACTACTTTCGCACCACAAAGACTATTAATGGTGTGTCCTCAAAAAAACGGAGTTTGATTACTTATTGTTATTCGATACGATGTACGGACGACAAAGTAACAATTGTATGATATGATGACCTATGATATCCCGATTTCTCCTATATACATGCGCTCACACATTCTATTTTTCTGCCAGTATAATTCATATTAAATATATTAGGTATAAATATATAATATTCATTTTATTTGTTCACAATACAATTAACATAATATATAAAATATTATACTATATCTTTCATATATATCAATAGTATAGCTTTTGTACATATTATTAACATATAAATATATAATAATTTGTTAGTGAAATTAAAATAGTACATTATTAACATATGAATAACTTATAAACAGTATATCTTTTGTACATTATTAACATATAGATAACACATCTAAAGTAATATAATTCATTTTTATACATTATCAACATGACGTGTAAAATAATATAATATATATCTTGCTAATTCACTCTTTTCTTTCTTTTTTTCTCTCTTTTACTTTATATAATAGAATTTTTAAACGTATTGCTGAAATTATAGGAAAGATTTTAATAAAAGATACGAAGATCAGACTTTTGATCAATAAATTCTTACATTCTATTTCCAGCTATACTTATCGAAGGATACTCTTGACAATATCCCCTGCAATAGCATTGCGTTTAACATTATCGGATATTTACGAACAAATACGAACGATAAGGACGACATAAACAGTGAAAGTGCAAACGTATGCGATTACTTTCTTTTGTGAAAAATGCGTTTTATGCGCATTTTTATGTGTCGCGCGTCGAAAAATTTTCGTCTAAAACTTGATTAATCATACGCTTGAATCGTGTTCGTGAAGCTAGTGTCTCAATTGGTGGAAACTCATTAAATATTGAGAGTTCTGAGTTTATTTTCAATAATTCTATAGTTCTATATAGGATAAACAAATAGTTTCGGCCATTAAAGCCGAGAAACCCAAAATTCAAAACGAGACGCCAGGTTCTCACAGAGTGAACTCCGTCTAAAAAAGTTTCCAACCACAGTTTCTTATAGGATTTGAAAAGATACATGGTTCTACAAAGAGTTATGACACCTAACACTGTTATTTTGATTTTTAAACAATTTTTTTCCCTAAAAAATAATCTTTCTCGGCTTTAATGGCCGGAACTATTTATTTATCCTATATAGAACTATAGAACTATTGAAAATAAACTCAAAACTCTCAATATTTAATGAGTTTCCACCAAGTGAGACGACGCTAGCTTCACACATAGCTTGAATCGCTACGTTGGCAAATTTAATGACGATCGTGTCAAATTTAGGTCATATTTAATCAGTGTTGTTTATTTATTTATTTAGTTGTATTTATATTTACGGATTGATCGAGTTTAGTTTTGTTTAATTTTGATTGGTGTATTTATACCAAAAGAATTTTAAATCTCGTTTTCGCCGAAATAATTAAAATAGCTTGAAAAATATTCGTTTATCTGCGTGTCGCTTGAAATATGATTACTGGTGATTATGGTATTAACGAGAAAGACAAGATGCTCGGCACAAAACCGGGACGCGCGTAAACGATTTAATTTATAAGAGCCCTCGTATATACGATGTACGAGCGAGAGAGAATGGAGCGAGAGAGGTCAAGAACCCGGTACTTCTTCGCTCTACCTCAAGACGCGTCCGCGATTCTAGTTTTGCAAATGTACTCTTAAGCTCATCTCAGACGATCTATAATTCATAATATTCATATCAGATTTCAGAATAGAATTGCAATTTTATTTTATATTTTATTATATCTCGACATATATAATTTAATGTACATTTTTTTACATATGAATTTCTGTTGTTCAAATATTTTTCGTAATTTTTATACATACAATTTTTAAATAAAATTTCTGAACACCTTTGATTCTGTGATACAAATTTTGTGAATAATTTAATTTTATATACATAATATGAAGAGCATTTCAATAATAAAGTCCACTTTAGATGATGTAATTTATGTTACAATTGAGGATAATAATCTATTTATAATGTCGTGCATATAAATTTTGTGAATAATATGATTTTATGTACGTAACAGGAAAAGCATTTCAATAATAAAGTCCATTTTACATGTTCTGTAATTTATATTAAAATTGAGGATAATAATCCATTTGTAATAATCTCGTGTGCTATATAATACGAATAATGTTTGAAGAATCAAAGATACATTTATCAAAATATGTGATACATAACATTGGTAAGTTCTGCCCTGAAATCTGACGCGAATTATAGAATTATCGGCTACAATTTATTTATTATCAGGTCATTTTCTACAAAGCGACATACATTATTAAATTTTATTTGAAACTTTTATGGATTTCAAAACGTAATTTATTGAGTAATGTCTCGATGATATTTCTAATCCGATAGTTAATCTGAGAAAAATCTAAATAAGCTGTCTGATAATTTTTGTGAAATACGATTAGCATATTCTGATTTTTACGATTTATTTATGTTATTATTTTTCGAAAAATAAGGGAGATTAACGAAAATAATTTGCTCTTTGGCAGGAAATCGATTATCTCTATTTCTTCTTTCTCGAGAGGGATAATATATATAGTATGAATATATAATTTAAAAACCCTGTAATTTCTATTTTGTATGTGTTTATTGATAACAATGCGTTTTCAGCATTAATTTGCGATTTGTCTAGGTGTTCTTCGCAACATAGATATGTGAATATGATAGAATAAAAATTCTTACTGTTTTTTTTTTACATCATGTCTTTCGACATTTTAAGTTTCTTAATATCGCGATAATATTAGCGTTTTCCTGCTATTGTTCTCAATTGTTAACGTTATAAAATTACGAAAATTGCAGTCGCGTCGTTGGCCATTTTAACAGCTATAGTCGTTACTTTACGAAACATAAAATATTTAAAAAAAACTCTTTAAATCCCGACATATGTAGAGGAAAGCCCTCTATTATGAGATAGGCACTTAATATGAGATAGCGGCGTTTCCGCTAAACTAATAAACATATCTATTGATTCCACCACGAATTTATTGTTCTTGGATTGAAAACTATTTAGTGGAAAATTCATTATTAGATCATGTCTGTAGTCATTGTAAAAAAGATTTTAGAATTTGAACATCTTAAAGTTTCATTGAGATGAACCTTTAAACCTTGTTTATTATTTAATAAATAAACATTTAGGAATAAATTCTTCATGTAGTGATAGAGTAAGATCGTACTAATAGAAAAGTATGGAATTGCTTAATTACAGAAGTTAAATTTGATGATCGTAAAAAATAAGGCGTGGAAATCGTAATATGAGATATCCAGGGTATTTCTAATATGAAATAACCTATGCTCCTATGAAAATCGTTGCTAAAGTATAAATGTTATTGTACGACAATAAAAAGGACAACCGGTTTGGTTCCAACTATCTGAAGACGAGTCCTAAGTACAATGCATCGTATGCTCATTTTGCACGCACACTGGCTGTGTTTGTATTTTAGAAACATTGAATAAAGTTTTTTAATTGCAATACTGATATACTTTTCGTTTTATTATCGATTTTTCGGGGTATCTCATATTAAGAGCACAATTTTTTGACTTTGCGATTTACTCACTTTTTACATTTCTTTTATTTAAAAAAAAAAAGGATTTGAATTAAATTTTACACAGCATTATCTTAAAGCTTATTAAAAAAAAATTCCCTTCAAAATGACTTATTATTTTTTTAAATTCTGCCCATAAATTTCTAGTATTTACCCCAAATGAACTCGGTATCTCATAATAAGGGCCTTTCCTCTATATTTATTATAATCTTTATTATAAATTATAATTAATACGGGTTGTCGCAGATTCTCTACAGTCCTCGATTTTTAGAGATACTTTAAAAAATTAATTTTGTTGGAATAAATATATTTGCATAATATTAAATTTTATTTTATTTGTAGATATATACTTTGGAAAAGAAAATAAAAAATAAAACTATATTTATGAAAATATATTTATGAAAATGGTTAAAAGTGCAATTTTCACGTCATTTTTAAATTTCATACGTCGAATATATAAACGTATATTTACTTTTATTGGATTTTCAAATATGCTAATTTTTCTAAGATGAATGGAATGATGAAATTTCTTGTCGATTCAGATAATTTGTTTTGAAAATGCTCTACGAAGTAATTATGATATATTTTTTTTAACCTGCACTCAATTTTTAGATGTTTTTATAGTACTTTCACCATGAAAATAATTACGATGTGATTAATTATAGTGTTATAATGCACATTTTATTTGTTGCTTTTGGAATAATGATTACTTCGGAATAATAATTACTTGAATATGTTAGGTTTTCTCAAACGTTTTCGAGCGTTATAGGTATACTTTGTTACAACTCGTCAATTTCGATGTATACAGCGTGATTAATCGGGAAATAACGTTGTGTGCATCGATACGATAATACACATTGTGCTCGGTGTGATATTCTTAGTCACGTTTATTTGCGCTCCGATTACGTAGCTGATACAATAAGAGCAAACGTCATTAAATACATGCGCATGTATAAAAAATGTTAATAAAAGAATTTAGGCATGATATATTCCACGACAGACTATGTATATAATAATTAAATGTCAATGATTTTGTTCTCGATTAATTTTAATTTATTAATGAAAAAGTCTTGTGGATATATAATCGCATATATATATATATATATATCGTAGATTATATTTTGATTTTTCATAAAATGGCAAATTTTTATATTTAAAGATGTAAACATTAATATTTTGTTACAGTATCCAATGACGACTGTACTTTACGATCCCAGCTGTAAGAAGGAACCATCTACGGGAGCATCTACGCAATACGGACAGGAGAAAGAAATCTGTATGAAACTGTTCGAAAGATGGAGCGAATCAGAACAAGTGCAGTTTGTCGAACAGCTGTTAGCACGAATGTGTCATTATCAGCACGGACACATCAACGCGTATCTAAAACCGATGCTGCAGAGAAACTTTATTTCGCTTTTGCCGAGTGAGTAATCAGATACGTACGCTTTACACTCAACATCTTTTTATACACTCTGCTCGCATTTTAAACGATATTTTTAATTGCATCTTTAACAATATCAAATGAATGATTTACAGAAAAAGGATTGGACCACGTGGCAGAAAATATTCTGTCTTACCTTGACGCAAAATCACTTGTTTCTACAGAATTAGTATGCAAGGAATGGCATAGGGTTATTAGTGAAGGAATGCTTTGGAAGAAGCTGATTGAACGTAAAGTTCGAACAAATTCAGTTTGGAGAGGTTTAGCTGAAAGGAGAGGATGGTGAGTGAAAATTCATGATATACATATGTGTATAAACTACAAAACTTGTGACAAACAAACACAAATATGATACGAACACAAAGCATTTTGATATTCTGACATATAAAATGTACGTAAAATATTTCTTTACATTTTCTTCTTATTTAATTTGTGAACTTTACACACTTTCAGGATACAGTATCTTTTTAAACCGAAACCAGGCGAGGCCCATCCCAATCACAATTTCTACAGATCTCTTTACCCAAAAATTGTCAAAGACATCGAAAGCATGGAGAACAACTGGAGAATGGGTCGATTCACTCTTCAAAGAATCAACTGTCGTAGCGAGAATTCTAAAGGCGTTTATTGTCTGCAATATGACGATCAGAAGATAGTTTCCGGACTCCGAGACAACACGATTAAGATCTGGGACAGAAATACTTTACAGTGTATCAAGGTGTTGACAGGCCATACGGGTTCTGTGCTTTGTTTACAGTACGATGATAAGGCTATAATATCCGGTTCCTCGGACAGTACCGTCAGAGTTTGGGACGCTACTACAGGCGAGATGGTTAACACGTTAATTCATCATTGTGAGGCAGTACTGCATCTCAGATTTAACAATGGCATGATGGTAACTTGCTCAAAGGTCAGTCAAAGAGGAGCGATGAATTATTATCTGTTTTCTAATTTTTATTTAGTTGGATTTCATTACTGACAATAATTATCATTTGCAGGATCGTTCTATAGCAGTCTGGGATATGACATCGCAGACAGAAATTGCGTTGAGAAGAGTATTAGTAGGGCACAGAGCAGCAGTGAACGTAGTTGACTTTGATGAGAAGTATATTGTTTCTGCCAGTGGTGATAGGACTATCAAAGTATGGAACACCTCCAATTGCGAATTTGTGCGAACGTTGAACGGACATAAACGCGGCATAGCGTGTTTGCAATATAGAGATCGCTTAGTAGTTAGTGGCAGTAGTGATAATACCATACGACTGTGGGACATCGAGTGCGGCGCTTGCTTACGTGTTTTAGAAGGACACGAAGAATTAGTGAGATGTATTCGATTTGATAGTAAGCACATCGTCAGCGGTGCTTATGACGGGTATGTAAATCAAAATCAAAATCTATCTCAATTCTGATTTTAGTTCTACGTTTGTAATGTGAAATCATAGCTTTAAACAATTAGAAAATTTATATAAATATGCAACACACACACACACACACACACACACACACACAATTTATAAAATATTTTATTCCTATTTTTTGAAATAAAATATAATTTTTATTTTTTTAACGTATTATATTTAATGTATACAAAAAACAAAAAATAATTAATTCTACATTATAATTGATATTCATATTAGATTTTACATTGATAATTTAGAGTCGAATTGAAAGATGCAAATTTTGCTTCAAGAACACACTATAATTTTACAAACTCATGAGTAAGTAAACTCATATTTATTATTGTGTTTTGCAGAAAAATCAAAGTTTGGGATCTTGTAGCCGCTCTTGATCCTCGTGCCGTTGCTAGTACTTTATGTTTACGTACTTTAGTGGTAAGATATTTTCGTACGCACGTGTATTTTCTTATTTCTTATATATATTATATTTAATCAGCAATTTGTCAAGTGCTCCACTGAATGACAATCTTCATTCATTACTAATTACTAATTATTTATATTTCTTATTGTAGGAGCACACCGGGCGTGTATTTCGTCTTCAGTTTGACGAGTTTCAAATAGTTTCATCATCTCACGATGATACAATATTAATTTGGGATTTTCTTAATTACAATCCGTCAAGCGGAAGTGTATGCAGTGGACGCCTGCCGATGGATGGAGCGCCGAACCAAGCCGATACTAGATCTCCTTCCCGTAAGTATACTATCAAAGTTGGAATTTTTAATATACACTGAGAAAAATTTCTGTTAAAAATGGATGAACCAGAAAATTTTGATCATGTCAATCAAAATTCTCAATTAAAATTATAGATTCAAATTTCAGAAAATTCTGATTTGTCTGTTTTTAACCAGAATTCTAATTAATATAACCAGATTTTTTCCAGTATATATTAATTATTAAATATAAAAAATATTATTATTTGCAGCATTTGAGTGACGCATCAATACGGAGATTCCTTTATTGTGATATAATTGTAAGTATATTTTATGAATTATCCGATTATCGCTTGCAGGTAAGCTTCAGAAGCAATTTATTTAATATAAATACAATATAACAATCCTAGTAAAAATATATGAAAAAATAAATCGCGCGGAATTAATCGCAATTGATTTTGTATTTCAGACAAGTGGTTAGTGAGTGAATCCAATGTGTTCACGACAATGTGCGCAAATAATAAAATATCCGATGATGAGTGTTTAATGTAAACAACAGCAATTATACACAGAAATATCTGAAGGAAAATTTGGTTGATCAATGACTTTGATTTATTGTTTGCTAGAACAGCAAAAAATTCTTCAAGAAATAGGAAAGTAAAATGGACTGACTTATGTGAAACTATGAATTATAATTTATATATGCGCTTGACGCACCGCGTTTAGAAACGAACAGTGTATTTAAAGCTGCATAAATACATCCTATGGATGTAAATGATTGTCGTCTGCTTTGGCCATATCTGGAATTCTTCTACGCTCTATGACATGATAGAAGTCAAGACCATTTTCCTACAAACTGAAAAAAAAAGAGACTTACAATACGTAATGTAGCGAAGCGATTTTAGGGAGGCTGGATATTATACTTAATAAGACATTAGATGTATTATAGTAAAAGGAATTAATGATTTTTTATATAATTAATTTATGAGATAAAAAAATTGTAAAATGTTGTTTGATTGGAGTACTTACGTTGTGTGAATGTGTAAAAAAATTGTTACATGGGAGGATTATCGTGTTGCACTCTCTTTTAAATGGCTCGTACAAAGTGCTATGTACCCATGTTTAGAACTGCGAAAGAAATCATTGATTGAATGTATAATAGTTTTTTAACATTTAAATTTTGTGAAACTTATTTAAAAAGCGAGTGAAGAGCCAACAACCTCTGCACAGCCTACATTTGGTATGATACCATTTGCATTTAGAATATAAAAATTACTATTGCAGAATGTAAATATTATTATCATTATTATATTCATATCGAAACAAATATAGCGTGCGATCCTAAAACTATCTTAATTATTGTAAAAAAAAAAGAAAAAGAACCGCTATTATTAATATCTTGACCATTGATCTCGTTTAACTCATTTTATTCACGCTTTGTATACCGTAAGTTGCTCATTTTTATATTTATCTAAATTGTCAATCGAAAATGTGAATTGGTGTTTTTTATTTTTCTAGGAGTTTAAATTTTTTGCAATTTGGTATTTCACTGAAATTTTAAAAAATACTCTTTAAATATAAAAAAAACTTTAAATAAAAATAAACGAGACTTATTGCTTATTTGAATTTATGTACATAACTGAGCATATAACATATGTAGTTTAAATGACGTCATCATGCCCAAATGATTGTGATATTATAAAGCAATTGATGCTTTGTGAACAGCAATTTACTAATATACATATATATGTATATGTACATATGCAATATATTATATGCATAAGATGCAACTAAAGTTTTATAATATACACAATACTTTGAGCGTTAGTAAAGACGTTAGCAAAACGTCTTTGGATATTTGATATTAAATAGTGCTACACAGTGTTAGTATAACTATATGAAAGTAAGATACTAGTAAAGAGAGAGAGAGAGAGAAAGAGAAAAAAAGAAGTGAAATACCGAATTATGTTTTTCAAATATGCGTTAATTATGGTCAGTAGAAAATGCCACGTAATATAATCGCTTACGAACTGTCTGTCAATAAATATGAGTTATACAGAACAAATTGTCACAGAAAATAATACATATTTCAAGCTGTAATATTACAATGATTTGAGTGTTTCAATCCTATAATAAGATTATAGAAGGAAGTTTACATTTTGATTTCGATGTATAATTTCGTGACGTTCATCTCAAAATTTTATACGAACTATGTACACAAAATGAATTTACATATTAATGCGCGTGGAAGGCAATACTAAATTTACATTTAAAATACACAAAATTTGTTTACTCTTGTAACGCATAACTAAAGGGAAAAACTGAAATATATACAGATACAACGTATATTTGTACTCAATTCGTTCGTATCACTAATGTTTCTATAAAAAGAAAACAAGAGAAATAAGGAGTTGCCTACAAACTAGATATAAATCTAGGAACTTGAAAAATTAGTACAATTGGATGGGAATTTGTATAATTTTGAAGTATATACATATATGTATATATATATATGTGTGCATATATACATATTATGTATATATCAATGCATAAGACAAGCATAATTTTGTGGAGTACGAATACGGCATATGTAGATTCTTGTGTTTACGACTTGTTTCAATAAATAGACAAAATAATAGTGATAGTAGTCAGACATTAACATACTCTTGCATTATATGAACACAGAATGTTCTTCATCATTTTTCCGCTATCAACTGATAATGCGTATGTAGGTATTATCAAAAGATATGATTGCTTATACCGTGTCTTCCTGTATTCCTAATTAGAATACGGAAATATTCTCCTACTTCTGGTTTTTTTTTTATTGGAATCTGAAAGATCTTAAGAGTGTTGAAAAAAACGTCTGCTGCATCTTCTACAAAAATATATATCCATCGAATTAATCTTCGAAAAACTCGAGCAAGAAATACAATATAAAGAGTGTAAAATAGAGCCAAATATTTGGAGATATAAAATATCGGACGTAATAGTTAAGAAATTACGTGAATTTATACTTTATAAGAACATCGTGACACGCACTGCGATCAGATCGCAATATGAGCGTTTGCGATTGTCGAAAATACCAGTAAAAATACTTTTAAGAAGATATTGTGATGCTTTATTGTTAATATCGACATGAATCTTCGTGTATGAGAATAATTGACTAGAGAGGATACAAAGGCTGTGCAAAAGCTATATTCGAAATATAATACCTACACAAGAATATAGAGGATTTTTTATAAAATCCATTATTATCTTATCCTTCTGCATACAATGACGTACATATATTTAACCATGTTATGAAATTCTATAGTTGAGTACAACAATAAGTGAAAATAAGTCAAATGTATTAAATTGTTTAGTTTTTTAAATACTGTGGACTCCAATATAACATATATACAGGATATTTCACAGCTACCGCATTTCCTCTTAAGAAATATGTATTCTTGAGGTAATTTTGAGACGAAAATCCTAATACAAAAATGTCGAGACTATAGTTTTTGAATTATAATTAAAGATAATGTGTAATTCGAAAACTATTATAGCCTCGATATTTTCGTATTAGGATTTTCGTCTTAGAATGTTCAAAAGAATCCAGAAATAATAATAGAGGCTATGAAAGTAAAATGGTTTATGACTTATAAGCATTTAAAGTTAACTTATAATTAAAAAAATTATTGTCTCAACATTTTCATATTAGGATTTTCGTCTCAAAATTACCTCAAGAATATTACCTTAAAAGGAAATGCGATAATTGTGAGACATCTTGTATATCATAAAATAATAACTAAAAGACTTAAGTACTTACAATTAGATTTATTATTTTATTAACCTCTAGTATACATGATGATTTTTAGCACTTTACTACATACGATAGGTCTTTCATGTTCTCAGTTAATTTTCATCACTTTTACAAGTATATAAAAATTATTAAATGACTTACATATGCTTTGACATCTTTAAAAATATTTATAAAATTGTATATAAACGTTATAACTAATTATAGTCAATAAAATGAGAAAAATGCACTTTTTCATATAGCAAAACTGTGAAAGAAAAATGTTTAAAGGAAAAATATGTTTCAATATTTTAAAGTTGATATTCCAAACTACAAAAGAAAAGATAGTTCAAGTATCGGCTGTCCAAAAAGTTTTATAGTTACTAAGTAGTCCGAAAGTGATATTTTTTATAGTATATAAATGGGTTTTAATCGAACGTTTATTGCATTTACATTTTAAACAGATTTTGTGTGCGCCATGACCTTAAATGAATTGAATTTCTTTAGTCGCCGAAAAACTGAAAAATTTTAAATAATTATCAATATGGCTCAATCAGAATAAATCAATAGTTAAAAGAAGGGCTACGAGCCAGTTATAACATAAAGAATATTTAATAAACTTTCATACACATACATACAAACGTTTCGACACCGATCGAGTCATTTTCAATGTAAAACAACAAACAATCTTACATAAATTATCGGAAAATTCAGTCAAATTATAATGTCCAGTAAAAAGTTCGGTTGTATTCGTAATATGCGGTCCATATGTAAAAATATCAAAGGAGATCTCGTCTCACTTTTTGAAAAATTTAAAAAGGAAATCATCCACCCGTAGGGCGCATTTTCATGTGTGTATAATGCGCCCAGTAAAACAAAGATGGCGCGCATTTGTGCACCCACATAGGGCAGGCGCAGGGTGCGTGCAAAACGTAGAACGTCGATGTAAACATGCGCCGGCGGCGGGCGCAGACGGAGGCTGGCATGTGATCCTAGCTTCACTGTAGATAATACGAGGCTGGCGAAAAATGGCGGATGAACAGGTGAGTCGCCGTGACGAGAATAAACACGTCTCATCCCGCGCGTGACGCAACGCTATTAACCGCGATACAGAGCGGGCGTCGCTTAAGCGGCCGCGACCCGCCGGCGGAATCCGCGCCGGATTTCCGCGTGCGTCGTCCAACCCACACTCTTGCCGCTCGTGCGTGCGTGCATGCGTGCGTGGATACGTTCGCGAGTGTGCGGCGCGTCCGCGCGCATTCGCCGCATTTCTCGCGGGGAGAGCCACGCCGGGAGAGGATCTCCTTGTTCCAAGGAGGAGTGCCGTTTCCCTCGCGCTGTGACAAAAAATACCGATACCGAACGACGCGAACTTCAGTCCAATCGCCGTCGCTTCGATCGCCTACTGATCGCTCACCGATCGCGCGCCGATGCGCCACATCGTTTGGTCCTTCTCCGTCTCGCCACGCTTGTCAAGCTGAGAGAGTTTCTTGTGAATGCGAACACCGGCTGATTCAACGGATAATTAACGGCCGATCAGAAAAATCATCTGATCTACAGTGTGCTGTGTGATTCACCGGAATCGGTGAAGCCGCCGAGTGCAAATTGCTGACCTCGCGGTTGGTGGACGGCGCGTTCCGGTTACGATTCCTCGTACGACGAGCGTCACGTGAAAGCTCGCACGGCGCGATGTAAATGAGAAAAAAAATAAGTGCGGTGACTCCGCTGCGTTTTGGGGTGCGACTGCGTCGTCGTCGACGTTGTTTATCTTCGCGTACGTTGTTCGTACGCCGCCGCCACCGCGCCGGGGGATACACCCGCGTAACGGAAGCCGCGGAGCTTGCGGGAGCGTTCGTCCAGCAAGAACGATACCTGGCTACACTCGGCCGCTAAATCGAATTCTCAATTTCCATCATAATGCGCATTTATTTACAACCTGTCGCGGCCCGCGAAATCCCGCGTAGAATCCCGCGCGTCAGCTGGCACATTTCTGGAACACTGTTGTAGTATCTCGTCCAACGACAATATCTCGTGCGCAATTCTATCGGCAAAATAGACGCGACGAACGTTCTTCCGCGAAACAGAGATCTCAATCTCTATTTTTTTTTCTACTCCATTATCGCACATGTGTACATGTGTATGTGTGTAAAACATGTAAATATCTTATAATTTATAAGTTGCGCTATTTAAACACGTGTGATTCTCCTTGAGCTGTTTATCTTATCGTTCCTTCGTCTTTTTGGTATATTTGTTTAAAATTTGCATATATACTGATTATCTCAGACAATTTTTGTTCTAATTAGTCGATTCCATAAAATATGTTTCTTGTTTACTTTATGCAACTCGAAAAATGTGTTTGTAAAGTGTTTAATAAAACATTATGCTAATTTCAACGAATTGGGTAGAATTTATTGTTTATCGCAGGGTGGTGCATATGAAACATCATAACGTTTGTCTTTTTTATGTTTATTATTGATGTAATGCTCTCTAAAACTTTTAGAATGGAACCTCATTCTGAAGAGTAAAATCTCTTGAAGTTACTCTTTTTAAGACTCAACTTTTACTCTTTAGAGTGAGATTCCACTTAAAAGAATTTAGACAGTACGGAATATGTATGTAATTGGAATTTTTTAAATATTTAATTCCAACGTGCAGATGTGTATAATGTAGCTTAAAAAAAAGTGTTATCAATACTTCGACGATGATATAATCTTGAAATCTTATGATCTTTTATGTGATAAATTCGATCACTTGTACTACACTGGATCGCATATTAAGAACTATTTAATATCAAATATTCAAATATAATGTATACATAATATAATCAACTTTGACAATGAAATAATGTATATATATTCTGTTAAATAACGTGACAATAGCTGCGTTCAGCAGAGAAAGCAGCTTTGCAACTGTTGTAAAATTTTTGAATATGATATTGGTTTATACATTTAGATCCAATGAGGAACTAAGACAAGACCAATCATATTAAAGAATTTTACAACAGTTGCAAAGCTGCTTTTTCTGCTGAACGCAGTCACTGTCATAGGGTATTTAATCGTTTAAAATATTTATATGCTTCTATATTTTGCTAATTTCATGTACCTATATAGTAGCTTTCAGTATACATTAATGTAGTAAGTATCAATGCAAGTGACGAATTCACTTACTTCGAGTTAAATAACCCAATATTTTATGCGCTACCCTGTATACAAAAGAAACGAAACTGTCTTCAGGTTTCTCTTTTATCTCCATCTAAGTAAGTTTATATATAGAGTCAAACTGTAATTCGGCCGTAATGCAACTGTATTGTAAAATTGTAAATGTCTTGGACAATAACAAGTCACCAATAAAGATTCACGTGGCACCGTAAAAAGTGGATATATTGTTACTGAAACTTTTTTTAGACTTGTACCTAAATGGAAGTCTTAAGAGACGGCTTTAAACAGTGTGACTAAGAATGGATCACATACAGGAAGTACGGCAGCTGGAGTTGCTATGCAAGCAATTGTACGAGTCTCAGGATTCAGCACATCGCGCAGAGGCGGAGAAGGCCCTGGTCGCTTTCCAGAATGCACCAGATACACTTACGAAGTGCCAGCTTCTGCTGGATCGTGGAGACTCTGCGTACGCTCAATTACTGGCCGCTACCACCTTGACGAAGCTGGTGTCACGTTCGGCACAGGGACAACTTACGACAACACTCAGCTTACAACAGAGGCTTGATATACGTAAGTGATAGTCGATTCTGTTTTGCTATGTGAGACAAAAAAAGAAATGTATCTCTCGAGATTTAAAGAGGCGAGATCGGGTGTTTCAATTTGTTTAATATGTTTGCAGGAAATTACGTACTCAACTACTTAGCAACACAACCAAAGTTACCGAATTTTGTGATACAGGCTTTGGTTACATTATTTGCAAGGATATCAAAGCTTGGGTGGTTTGATTCCGATAAAGAGGAATTTGTCTTCAGGAATGTAGTTAGCGATGTAGCCAAGTTTCTTCAGGTTCGACATACTTTATTTGACAACTTATTAAATTCAATGTTCCTTACACGTTGCATTTCTCTATGCGCATACATTATTTTGTGATTCATAATGTTTTATTGTAACAATTAAAGGGGTCAGTGGAGCATTGTATGATAGGAGTACAGTTGCTTTCTCAATTGACGTGTGAAATGAATCAAATATCGGAAGCCGATGCGAACAGATCTCTGACAAAGCATAGAAGAATAGCGAGTAGCTTTAGAGACACACAACTATTTGAAATATTTAGGTTATCGTGTACCTTACTAAGCACTGCTCGCGAGAATTGTAAAAATTTAAATTTCAACGACGAAGCGCAGGTATAGTACAGTAATTACATACAATTAATGATTATTCGAGCTCTATAAATTAATGCATCTTCTGTATATCTGTTTTCTGCAGCATGGTTTGATAAGACAATTGTTAAAGCTTGCACAAAATTGTTTGACATTTGACTTTATTGGTACGTCAACCGATGAAAGTTCGGATGATCTTAACACAGTACAAATCCCGACAAGCTGGAGACCTGCGTTTCTGGATTTTACTTCGTTGAAATTGTTTTTTGATCTATATCACAGTCTACCTAATACGTTATCATGTTTGGCACTCTCATGCCTGGTTCAAATAGCGTCGGTTAGACGAAGTTTATTCTCCAATACTGAAAGGGCAAAATTTCTGACACACTTAGTCAATGGTATTAAGCATATACTACAAAATCCTCAAGGTCTTAGTGATCCAGGAAACTATCACGAGTTTTGTAGATTATTATCTCGACTGAAGAGCAATTTCCAACTTGGCGAGTTGGTTTTGGTAGAGGATTATCCCGAAGCAATACAACTGATCGCAAAGTTTACGGTGCAAAGCTTACAAATGTGGCAATTTGCGCCAAACAGTTTGCATTATCTTTTGACTCTGTGGCAAAGAATGGTATCTTCAATGCCATATGTAAAAGCTGGTGATCCACATTTATTGAATACGTATACACCGGAAGTTACAAACGCGTACATTACGTCGAGACTTGAGTCGGTAGCAGTAGTGGTCAGAGAACGCTTGGAGGATCCATTGGACGATCTAGGAGTGGTTCATCATCAATTAGAACAAATATCAGTTATCGGTAGGTGCGAGTATCAAAAAACATGCACTTTACTAGTCCAACTGTTCGATCAAGCTGCAAGAACATACCAGGAGCTAATGACACAAACGGTATCGCCAACGCAACAGATTGATATTGCAATTCAAGAGGGACAACTCACATGGCTTGTATATATCATAGGTAAATGGAATATATTAATGCGTTTTTCTGCATTAGAATATATTAAGGCATAACTAACAATATTACATTAATTAGTATTGTATTAATTTTTTATAATTAAAATATTATATTAATTAACAATACTACATAATTTTCTCATCATCTTTCATAGGTGGTGTTATCGGCGGAAGAGTTGCATTTAATAGCAACGAGGAATTTGACGCTATGGATGGAGAACTGGTTTGCAGAGTGCTTCAGTTGATGAATCTAACTGATTCAAGACTCGCGCAAGGGGGCTGTGAGAAATTGGAATTAGCGATGTTGAGCTTTTTTGAGCAATTTCGAAAAATCTATGTTGGTGATCAAGTTCAAAAGAATTCTAAAGTATATAGGAGGTTGTCTGATGTGTTGGGTCTTAACGATGAGGCGATGGTACTCAGCATTTTTATTCGAAAGATGTAAGTGGATTTGTATAACACTTACGAAATTTCCTATGCTCCGAATTAATGCTGAATTATAATTTATAGAATAACGAATTTGAAGTACTGGGGTAGGAGCGAACAAATTATTTCCAAGACGCTACAACTTTTAAATGATTTATCAGTGGGTTATAGTTGTGTTCGTAAACTCGTCAAATTAGAGGAAGTACAATTTATGCTCAACAATCATACGGTACCACATACTGATATCTTACTGCTTAAGATTTCATATAAATAATGAGTTGTAACTTCAACCTTTCTACAATAATTAAATTAAAAGGTAATTAGACTTTTTCCTATTGATGTAGCGAGAACACTTTCCATTTTTGGGAAACAATGTTGCCGTGACAGAAATGCGCTGTAGATCAATGTTTTACACATCTCTTGGTAGATTATTGATGGTAGACTTAGGTGAGGACGAGGAAAGGTTTCATACCTTTATGTTACCTCTTACAGGTAAGAAAATTTAATTAATTTTTTTTTAAACATGTGTGACACTTAAGCTTTTATATATAATTTCAGGTGCATTAGAGAGCCTTGGTCAATTAATGGGTGCTGCAGATACACCTCTCTTTGCAGCAGAGGAAGCAAAGAAAGCATTGATTGGTTTAGCGCGAGACCTTAGAGGCTTAGCTTATGCATTCAACACCAAGACATCCTATATGATGCTTTTTGATTGGATGTACGTATATATAAGATACAAAAGTATACAAATATTTATTATTAATCATTTGTGAATATCAAAAAGCAATTATTTTCCTTTACTGTCGATGTTTTCTCTGAATTTAGATATCCGAATTATACACCGATTTTATTACATGCTGTGGAGTTGTGGCATCACGAACCGCAGGTGACAACGCCCGTCCTGAAGTTATTTGCTGAGTTAGTACAAAATAGGAGTCAACGATTACAGTTTGACGCATCGTCTCCAAATGGGATACTGTTGTTCCGAGAGGCCAGCAAAATAATATGTAGCTACGGCAATCACATATTAAACGTTGAAGTACCTAAGGATCAGATTTATCCTTTAAAACTCAAAGGAATAAGTATATGCTTCAGTATGTTAAAGGCAGCCTTGTGCGGAAGTTACGTAAACTTTGGAGTGTTTAGGTTATATGGTGACGAGGCGTTGGACAATGCTCTTAATACATTTGTTAAATTACTCCTTAGTATTCCACAAAGTGATCTCTTGGTAAGTATGTACATTAGTCACAATATTTGATTTATTTTTTATTATTTAAATAATTTGCTTTTTTTAATAATCAAATTGTATCAGCAGTATTGATGAATTACTACATAATGATAAAAATATTTATCTTATATTGTTACTTTTATACATTGTTTTTCACAGCATTATCCAAAACTGTCAGCAACATATTATTTGTTACTCGAATGTCTGGCGCAAGATCACATGGTCTTTTTATCTACTTTGGAACCTAGGGTTTTTCTGTACATCCTTTCCAGTATCAGCGAAGGCCTTACAGCACTAGGTGCGCAAAAAGACTTCTATACAGGTCTGTGCGGCTGATTCTATCTTGCTACTACTCTCTATATCCTCAATGCCATATCTTGAAATTGAAATCATTTTAACACTTAGACGAATATCTATAAGTTAAAAAAGATCTTTTTCTCGGTTAATGTTTTTAGAAAAATTTTTTTATAGTTTGCAAAAAATGGAAGATAATTAAAGATATTTAACATGTATCATGAGCAGAATTAAACATACATTAATAATTTATTTGTAAAGTTATATTGAAAGAGTAAATTCAAAAAGAATTTATTCAACAGAATATGTTATAAGTGCATACAGGACTAAAAAGTTATTATAAATTTTCCTTTGAATTAGTCTTTGAACATATTTCCTAAATCATAAACATTTGTTTCACTGTTGCGAGCATAATCACTTAAGATTATAACATTAATTTTTTTTATACATTAGAATTTTATATTGACTTTATAATATTTGCTTTTTTGCATTACTGCTTGGAATGTAAATTTGCCTATAGAATTAGTCACTGCGACAGTTCGAAATGCAAGGAACAGACGCATATTTCAAGTACTTTAATATGCACAATGAAGAAAATCACTGAGAACACTTTATGGATAACATTGGCTATAAGAGGATTGGAGTGCGTGGAGCCTCGACCCTAAACATGATAAAGTGCAATACGCAAGAATCATATAGCTTTTATTCTCTACAATATGTTCTATGAGTGTTATGCAATTTTCTGTTTCTATTACAACGAAATTGAATAATGGGTCTGACATAGATAATCAGCCGCACAGCTGATATATTACTAAATACATTAACATTGAGTTAAAGATTATGTATGTTTTATATAATAACTAATGTACTAATTGCAGAGTTGCATGTATTATTATTTTGTATGCGTGTGTGTGTGTATTAAAATTTTTATAATATTTATAAATGGATATATGAAATAAAAAAAATCAAATTTTTTAGATTCTATGCGGTTAGCAACATTTTTAAGTTAATAACGATAATTATGATTTTGTATAGAATAATATATTTATATTATAATTATATAATTATGTAGAATATCTTTAAAATTTCTTTTACTTAATTTTCTGTAATAATTTTTATTAATATTTGTGTTTATTAAATTACAAAGTATTAAATATACAGAGAAGCAGGTAAGTTTTTTTAATAAGTTCGCAATGCTGGTATTTTGGTTGCACGTATTTTTCATTGTGCTGAGATTTTAAGGATATACATGTATTCACTTCTTTTTGACAATAAAAACTGAAGTAAAAATAAAATTTTCTGATTTCAGATACTATGGTTTGTACTGGTTGCTGTGCAACTCTTGATCATATTGTGACATATTTGTTTAAACAACTTTATCAAAAAGGTACATTAATTTAACAATTATTAATAAAATATATAGCGTGTCTTCTACGAAACTGTATTAATCCTTAATTGGACAAAAAGCATTATCTAATCGGAAAGTTCGGCAAAATTCGTTCAATCATGGGGTCAATCATGTAACTTTTTCCTAGAGTGGAAATGTAAAAATGAAAATTATTTATGCTTACGTGTATATATACATATGTACATATATACCTATAAATTTTCACTTTCCAGTTTCCATTCTAAAGAAAAAATTATATGATTGATACCCAAAAATTTAACATCACAAAATATTTGAAAAAGAAAAAAGTATCGCAAAAATAATGCCCTTTGGGCTTTTGAGACCGTCCTTGCCTGATTAAGGGTTAATGCAAGAAATTATAAAAAATATATAGTACTAATATTATATGCATATGTTTTCAGGATATCCAGGAAGGAAAAATGCAGTTGTTCCTGGAGGAGGAGAATTATTTTTACAAGTTTTAAAACAGCATCCTGAAATACTTCAACAAATTTTAAGTACTGTTTTAAATGTGATAATGTTTGAAGATTGTAGAAATCAATGGAGCATGTCTCGTCCTTTACTAGGTCTCATATTATTAAATGAAGACGTAAGTTTACAATGATGGTTTCTTTATAATGCAATGTAATAATTCCTATAATATTTTATTTTTTAGTGTTTTTTTCCGTCTTAATTTTCTTTTCATTATGTATATACACGCAATTATATATACAGGGTGTCTCATATGTTTCGGACAGTTAGAATCGGCTGTTAGATTCTGAAATCAAAAATAGAATGTTCTATTTTAAAAGATCTATTTGACTTTGATCTGACCTTGGCGACGCCACCCAAGGTCAAACTGATCAGATCAGTAAATAGATCATTTAATACTCTACAAGTAATGTTTCCTACTTTTGTAGGAAACATTTCTTTCGGAAATGCTTAGTTTTCGAAATATTTCACCGTTCCGGGACATACGGGACACCGTGTGTGTATGTATATATATATGTATATATATATATATATATAATTGGATACATAATAAAAAGATACATATATAACGTCTTGTTTATCTATTCTTACAGTATTTCAATCAATTAAGGGAAAATATTATTAGAAGTCAACCAGTTGATAAGCAAGCAGCGATGGCCCAATGGTTTGAAAATTTAATGAATGGGATTGAAAGAAATTTACTCACAAAAAATAGAGATAGGTAAAAAAGCAGCAACTATAATATGTATCCTATTATATGTCCTAAGCGTTTCATAAACATTATGATGTTTGTTTTCTCGCAGGTTTACACAAAATTTATCAATGTTTAGAAGAGACATAAATGATGCCCTAAAAGGACCTAATATATCAAATTCAGTCAATGATATGATGACTTCGTAGTAATACTGCTCTCTCTGAAATAGATTCTTCTAGGTTCTTGCCTGCCAAATGCTTGAATGTGTGTGCGAGTGAAACTCTAAATTAATGGTGAAATTAAAATTGTGGCATTAGATGAGTATAAAGATAATAAATATTACTATTTTACATAAATATTACAGCTTGGCTTCCTATTCTTCGAAACTGTCTTTTTATCCGCTCAAATTATATTTATATTGATTTTCATTTTCATGTAGTAACATTGAAAGGAAATAAAATTTACAGTTATTTTCTTCTTTACATGGTCTTTAGAAAAATTTTGGACACTTTAATATTTTTACCTCCAACGTAGTTTAATAAAAAAAGATAAAATTTCTTTTTTTTTATTACCTTTATACTCGAATTTTCTTAATCTCCCGTGAAACGATCAAATTTAAACATTTTTATGCACATAATTATTATCCAAAATTGGCTATTATACGATGTTTTATGAGCATACAACAAATATATATTATTTTTTGAAACAAATCGTCTCCATATTTTTCAATCAAAATATACTTTTACAATCTTTACCGAAGTACATAAAAAAATAAAAATTCAATAATTTTTTACTTTAGATATATATATATATGTTTTTGTTATGTATTCATTTGTTTCTAAAAGTCATTTTAATAGAGATAAGATCTTTTATATAGAGATTAATTTCGTATTGTGTTGTTTTTTGCATTTAAAATAATGTAAACATGATGTCGTATATCTGAGTCGGTTTTTCTTCATATTTTTATTGTCTCAAGCATTGATGACTTTCCCACAAATAAATTTTTTAGAATCTTACAAACGATAATTTAAAATAAAACACTCGTTTGTAAAAGATTTATTAAAACACTTTTCTTTCTTAATTTAATACAATAATTTCACAGAATTTTACAGAAAAATGGAGTTTATGTGAAATATTATAGCAGTTTTTAACAGAATCTAATGGTATTCACAAGTATCGGTTCTTCACATTTATCATTTTGTCAATAAAGTTTTCAACATTATATGTATACATTTTAGAGGATAGGAAGCCAATAACATTATTTTTATTTACAATGACATATTCTTATTTTAAATAAATCGTGGATTTTCATTCGTTTAAGAATGTTTTGCACACAAACGTGCAGCTTAAAAAAAACCATTTGCAAACATTACAAATTCTTGTAGGAGAGAGAGAGAGAGAGAGAGAGAGAGAGAGAGAGAGAGAGAGAGATGAGAGAGAGAGAGAGAGACGCAAATCGCGATACACTCATTACTTAAAATTTATTCAAATAAAAGAGCTATTATGAAGCTATATTATCCAGTGAGTTATGAATAATGTGAACGATGTAAATGAGGATATCATTAAATTTATCATACAAAGATTCACTTAAGAATATATAGTTATTATATTATGTTATTATTGACATTACTTCAGAAAGATAGATGAACGAAATAGATATTACGAGACGTTAAGTAATATTCGTTAATTTTACTATATAAAAACGATTATATATAAAGCAAATCGCGCATTTTGAGCAATTGTCTGTCTAACAGCATTGTCTCAATTGTATCCTATATTACGAACTTCTATATTGATTAATATTTATTGAATCATAACTATCAAAATGTTCAAATTTTCATCGACAGATAAATATGAAAAATACTTGATATATTTTATAACAAAATAAAACTGGGATAATCGAGAAATCAAACAATTGCAAAATGGACAAGATAAAATATCGATAAGATATAGGATGTCGCTAAGATATCTTATATCGAAATGTTTTTAATCATCCTCTTTTGTTGTAAATATCGTTGCAAAATTTATTGGCCATAGAAGAGAAAGAGAGAAAGAAAGAGAGGAAACATTCCTTTATTTTTTTTATACGTATATATATATTACACATCTTTTATAACATTTTGTAAATTATTTTATAGGCTTCGTAAAAAAAAATCTACGTGCCCATCTGCGAACAGGCAATAAGATATTCTCTTTGAATTTAGTATATGTATACTTATGCTATAATTTACCAATGCTTTTTTAACAGTAATCTTTTTTGGAACAGAGGTACAGTAGAGGCTTTTTAAATACCGCATCCTCAGGATCATATCCCACCTAAAGTTTATTCGGTGCTCTACAATTAGTAAAACAATCAAACGATATTAGAACGTCAAAATCCAATTCAGCTGTCTCTTTGTAATGACTGTGTGAGAAAGTTACACATATAATATTTTCTATAATTGCAGATCGTTAAGCGAAACTGACACTGATACAGTTTCGTGATTATGGTAGTGAAACTACCCTCACTGCTCGTAGGTACCGCGTATTATTCTTAGCGAGTTGTTGTATTACACTGTGATAGTGACGCCGTAAGAGTACATTATTGTATTATCTGTCGCTCGATCTCGTTCTCTGCGAACGAAAGAAAAAAAAAGGGAAAGAAAAAAGTATCGCATTGAATATAAGATGTACCTGTAAAGACATAATTTTTTCCACGACGCGGTACAATATTGCGTTGCCATAGTCGGATTTCACGATCTTGAGCTGATAATAATTGTCTCAATAAAACGTTTCGAGTCGCTTTTCCGAATTACAATGACTTATTTGACAATATACAATACGATATACTGAGAGAATACCCAGCGTTGCGTTGCATTGTGTTGCGTTACGTTACGACTGTAGAGCCCGCAAGAGCTTATTCTTACTCTTCAAGGCTATCGAGGCTGCGTGATCCTCTTTCGCTGATGAATGCGAGAATCTGACTCACGTCCTCGGCACAATCTCAGTTTCCGCGTGCGTCCTGCCGCGCGAGGGACGTTTAATAGATTTTTATACAAATGCACGGATAAAAGAACCTACGACAAAAAAAAAACGAAGAAAGAAACTATATCGAGTGTGCAAATTTTTCCTACGTATAAAATACACAAAGCAGCATTTTACCAAGATTATACGCAAACCTATACGGGTCGATATTCAGCGCTGTACCTTTATCAGATAATATTGTAAATATACATTGAACACGATAAATTGTTCCCTTAATCCTAAGTTACCTTTTCTGTTTTACTGATCCATCAGCGAGTATATTGATACATGATGCGCAAATTTGAAGTTTGTAAGCAAAATATAACTCACAAATAGAAGATATGTATGACAGAGTGTGATATGTAGTAAATATCGCGCTTCGTTATTACTGTAAAGATTTTTTTTTAACTTCTATTTTTTTCAGCCTTAATCTCAAGCAGTCTTGTGTTTTAACAGTCTTATTCCAATTTCTTGCTGTCCTGCTCAATGTGAGAATAACTTTTCTTCTTTTATTTCTCTATTTTTATTTTCTCTGAAGTGACTCATTTTTTATGCGAAGGGACAGAATGTGTAAAGTGCGTTCTAGACTCGATGTATGGATTTTATTTACCGAACTATCTGAAATTTTATCACTGTAATTAATATATAATAATATGTTAATGTTTTTGCTGACGTGTTGAAATATGAAATATTATATACATATAGAATTCTTATTATAATATATTACTTTTTTTTACTGTAAGGGAAAATCTCTTATGTTTACCTTATTTGAATATTTTAAGGATGTCACTCTTCTCCTTCCTTTTGTATATATATATATATATGCTAGGTGTTCAATGAGGAATTTGAATTATACAAATACATTATAAAGATTTCGGCTGCATTTTGTATATTTTATTACTTTGCGGAAGAATCGAACGAGTTAATGATACATGTGATAATTGTAACATGTTATAAACTATATATGGTCATTATGTGCAAAAACGTAATGTCAGAGCATATCTTTATAGTGTAAAGACGTGATTCTGATGTGATCGCTAGGAAGTCTGTGGTCAAGTTTTGGCCATTAGTTGATGCACCGCCAGTTGTACACGTAATTCCACACAAGCATCCTTCTCCTCGATAATACTACGTATCAACGTCGTCATCTTCTTCTGCAAAGAGAATCGTATAAATGTACAGAAGTAAAACAAGAAAGCTGGTATGGAGGAACATACCTCAAGTAGCTGATTTTCTTTGACTAGCTGTATCATGGCCGTCATTTCGGCTTCATTAGGAGAATATGTCCTCTCTTTAGGCTTCTTCTTTTCTTCTTTTGTGCTGCACTCCGTCAACATCTCCATTAATCGTTTGATCTCATTTCTCTCTTGACTGATGCGAGATTTCAATAACGCTTGCATGTTCAACAATTCCTCGTGGATCAGCCTTTCTCGCAATTTGTCTATGACATCTTCTTCAGACTCTATATATAAATTAATGATATACTAATGTGTACTTAGCTTAAGAATGTATTAGAAATTATATGCTATTAATTATGTACCATTTGCTCTGTCATTCGACGTTACATTCTCAGGTTCTTGCGGTGTGACTGCAACCTCAACCGCGGAATCAACCACGTCTTTCTCTTGTACATTTACACTTTGTTCATTTTGTATGGCGTTCGCACTGTTACCTGCCGAGCAAGAACACTTCTCTTTCGTCTCTTCTGCGCTATGCAATTTGCTGTCTTTTTTTATCAATGTCAGATTGGTTAACGATTGAGCATCACCAGAAATTGCCTGTCCGGAATCTTCGTCTGCAGTTTTTGGCTTCTGCGAGGTAGATTCCGTTGGAATATTATCGGTTGACTTTATTTCTTCATCCAGACTCTTTTGCGTAGCACCTTCCAATTTTTGAACAGTCTTACATTTTCTCTGCAAAGTACAACTTATTATGTCGATGCTCTTTATACGATATGAATTTTTAAAACGTTCTTGCAGCTCTATACCTTCAGTTGCGTTATCATTCGTTGTACTTCCCATAATTGTTCCTCACGAGATTTCGTTACAAAACCGGCATTCATTTGCATATGAATTTGAGACAGTAACGACTCCTGTTTGGATAATTCCGCGGCTATACCCTCCACGGAATCTGGCAGATTTGTACTACCAGACGATAACGGTGGTACGTATTTTGTCAATTGTATATTTGGAAACAGAGCTTT